CGGCCTTGGCCCCCCTCCCCCCATCTCAATTTAATGGAAACGGACGTTAAAAGTCAGACAGGTTGAGTTACGGAATTTAATAAGCATTCGGGCACGTAATACGCGTTTATTTGAGTGAACGCCGATCGTCGTAAATAAAGAAAAGGAGAGGAGAAAAAAAAAAAAAGAAAAAAGAAAAAAAGGGGGGAGAAGAAAATTGTAAGTTAAGCGCATGGTTTGCATTTAAGAATGAGAATTTATAGTGTTCCAAGGGAGAGATCGCATTTTTATCAGAGATATTGGAGCTCTTGCGAGAGAAGAAATTGCGGAAAGAATAGTATTTTCTTTGAAATACGATGTATATGTGTTATTCTAATATTTTTTTATTTTTATCCTTTATTTTTTAAATTTAAAAAATATANTTTAAGGTTATTAATTATTTAATTCTTCCAATAGTATTATTACTTAAACAATTCTCAATAAGAAGAACGAAACTTTTTATATTTATATACGCAAAAATTTATTTAAAACGATGTAAAACGAAACGCGCGTTGTATTGGCTTGCTGCACATTGTACGTTCACTTTTAATATTTAAAAAAAAAAAAAAAAGGAAAAAAACCGTGTTTAACGATTCAATGATACATGTGTATACATAAAGGGATATAGTATAAAGAAAAATATAATTTTAACAAATTGATACACAAGTAGATACAAATACCAACAATTTTTATACACAAGAAACGATAAACGTTAATATTTGCTTCATATAAAAATATAGATTTTTTACAAGAAATGGAGGTGTAAAAATTTGTGCAATAAATATGCGTTTGATCGAAAATTACACGATAAGGGAAATAAACATTCAACAATAACGCGTAACGCGTCAATTCTCGTAATTTTAATATTGATCCATCCATCGTCCATGTCCAAAAAATTACACAAAGACGAAATCAAACGTCAAATTACTCTCAGCCACCCTCGAGAAACACAATTAAACCCTCTCCCCTCCCCAACGTAATAAACCATCGACGTACAGCAAAAACATAAACAATTCAACAATATCTATTTACATCGATATCCACGTCACGATTTTAACGTACTCGACGGGAATACGAAATCGTGTCAAGCCGATTACTCTCGAAGAACTCGTGAGCATACGTTGCTTAAACCGGCTAATTAGAAAAAAAGAAGAAGAAGAAGAAGGAAGAAAAAAAAAAAAGAAATTCAGAAACCATCGTGATCGTCGTGGAAAGGGATGACGTCGAATATTTCGTTCGAGAAAGAACGATGTTTCTCGGCTCGTACGTATCTGGGCCGGGTTTCACGGTACTTAAGTCAAATAGGTGAAGAAAGATAGAAAGAGAAAGAGAGTGAGAGGGGAGAAATGTCGAAAAAAAAGAAAGAAAGAAGGGGAGGTCTCACGGCAGGATGGAAGAAAGTTTGACATTCACGGGAGGGGAGGGAAAATTTTAAAATTCACGCCAGGGAGAATATGAATGTTTAATGCCCAGAATGGGATGAATAAAGCAGGGTGGTGGCCGAAAAGAACGTGAGGGCAATTTGATTTTTCTTGTAACGGAGTTTCCAAAGTGTGTAAACCTTGGCCGCGGCTGACCGATTTGCATAAATCTGAACGGGACAAAAAATTATTTGTCGCGATATAACGTTCGTTGCGAGTTGACAATTGATCGAGGGATGAATATCTGTATCTATCTCGAGAAATAAATGAGTAATTGTGAGAAATAGGTTTTGGTTAATAATTAGATATTTTTAATAGGAATATTTTGATTTGGAAGAGGGAAGAGAGAGAGAGAGAGAATGTAAAATAAAATTGTGAAATGTAAAAAGTTTAGATTTAGATTTTTTGTAATTTTAATTTTTAAATGACAAATTAAACGTTTTCTTTCTATTATTATTTTAATTAGATGTTTGAAACGTTTCGATCGAAATTTTTGCAGAAAATTTATCGAATCATTGAATAATTTATCGGTGATTTAAATTTTTTCTTTGCTGTTTGTTTATATTTAAAGGATTGTTTAGGAATTTTGCCTATAGAGATACATTATTTTAAACAATATAACAATATTTATATTATGACACGTGTACACGTGATATTTATTCATTTATTTATCAGTGAAATATTGTTTTCCACGGGATACAAAAATGGGACACAAACATGCACGAAATGAACGTATAAATTGTACCCAGTATACCCAGGGAAATACAAACATAGTCCCACTAGGGAAGGGAGTTATATTAAAAAGCACGAAATAAAAAAAAAAAAGGAAAAAAAAAAAACAAAGAAAAAAAACATAGGAAGTTCGATTATCGTTATTCGAAATATTTTTTATCGTTTCATAATCTGAATTTACAATTCTACTGTTACTATAAAAATTATTGCAGTTAAAATTCAAAGTTTCGTCACCGTTGGAAACAAAATCGCTAAGGGGATTGAGAGCTATATATATATACCGAAAAATATATTCTTCAAATATTTTGAAAACTGGGGGAAAAAATGTATCGTATCCCATAGAGATTACGACTAGAAAATAAATATGGATGAACCTAGAGATTCTTCAAATAAATAACATACAAAATTATTTACAACTATTTAAAGTTAAAATTTTCTTTTTTCTTTTTTTTTTTTTTATAAAATTTGTGAATACATTGTACAAATATTTTGAAAATTGGAAAATAAATTTGTTATATTTCATAGATATTACTGTCAAATTAACAGATAAAAATAAAGATAAATACAAAAGTTTTTTTTCAAATAAATGAAATAAAAACAATTCCAATTTGCAATTTCATAATATAAACGTTTCCACAATAATTTTTAAAACAAAAGTAATTTTCCAAAGATGACTATTAAAATTAAAATTTCCTTCCATCACTTCAAATATATTCTTAAATATATTTCTACAAATATTTCGAAAATAAATCTCTTACATCCCAAGATTACTTATCGAGTATTAATCTAGCAATTTTTGCACATTATATTATTTTCCAAAAGTAATTTTACAACAAGTAATCTTCCTTAAAGTCAAAAAATTTCTTTCCACCTTCTTTAAATCGTAAAGTGAATAATAAGGCAAGGAAAAGGTAATGGAAGAATGGTTAATTCGCGACGATTAAACGAGGGCGACGATCAGTTCGTTGGACAGAAGGACGATGGAATATCCAGGGGGAGGACACAGGACGCGCATTTCGCAGGTGCATCAATGTTAGAAATGGAGGCTCGTTCGTTGCTTGAAAATAATTAATCGGCACGTCCGATTGGGAAGGAAATTCCATGAAAATCGGCGGATCCACGGAAGGCGGTTTAAAGAGGTTTAAAGAGAGAGAATGGATTTATTCGGCGTGAAATTAATCGGTGGAACAGGCGGGGAAAAGTAGGATTTATTTAGCATCCGGTTGATTCGTTCCTAAGGCTCTTACCGGAGGAACAAGAAGGGAAGAAACAAGAGGATTGTTTTGTGTATTGGTAGTTTTATATATATATATATTATTGATTCTCGCGAGATATAGTTATTTATTGAGAGTAAGACGTTTCGTTTTAAAATTAATTTATGAGACTTAATGTAGGATATAATTTAAAAAGATTATTTTAGAACGAATTCGTGCAAGGAGGAAGAGGGTGAGATGGAAAAATTAACGAAATAAATTTTTTCCTCAGGTGAAAAAGAAAATTTCTTTTGAAGAGAAAAAATGATCTTATTTTTATTATTCATGTAGATTTAACTTTTTGTTTATAAAAAAAAAATTAGAATTACTTTCAAATTATTTACAGACAAATAATTGAGGATAAATAATTATAGGCAAATAATGGAAGATTGTTTTCCAAATGTTTTCTTTGCTATATTTTTAATAAAACGTTGTAAAACTGTAAACTGTATAATTAATATCTTGTTTTCGTCCGGCTAGCATAGAAATTTAACTTTCTATACTCGGCCGGTGTACCGAAAAGAGCAACCGTGTTCAATTGGATTACTACTAACTGCTACTTAATTACACGCAACGGTAATTTACGAGGCAACTTAATTAGGACTATCCACCGTTTCGAGTTTCATCGGATCTGTCCTCCTATATAAGGTTAATTTCCATAAATTAAATCACCCTCTAAATCTCTTATCTCGTATCGTAAAATTATTTTCATCGGCACGAATTGAATTCTATGAAGAATAATAGCTATGTAAATTAAAAAAAAAAAAAAAGAAAATCGAATTAAAATTTTTATCTTAAAGCATGATTATCCTTTCGAATCATCTTACGTGTTTTGCCATTTTTAATCAAGTACGAATATAAATAAAATTTTATTTATGGTAATTATTCTGGGATTATTTTAACTCGTGTCTATTCTTATATGTTTTATTCTTCGCGTAAAGTAATATTTGGGATATTTTAATACAATTTTAAATTGAAAATTGATACCAAAAGTAATTGTAAAATTCAGTTTTAATTTGTAAAAATATATTAAATATTTCTCTTATTGTAATAATAAATCGTTAGATAGCATAAATTAATAATAAAAGTCGAAATATCGTTATATTATTGATAGTTATTTTCGAGAAATCAGTTTCGACGCAATTGGAAGAGAAAATAAATAAACAAAGGAAATTCTCGCCAAACTTTCGTTACGCGACGTTCGATAAATACAAAGGAGGTCGCGAGAACGGCTCATTATCCAACGAGCCTTCGTAGCGAATAGATCGATTTACTTTAGTTAAATTCTACTAATATATAAATTAATTTACAATATCATTTGTTTTTCGATATTTATTAACATCTTTTATATACCGTTTTAACGATAATTTATACACTTATTTAATTATTTATACACTTATTTATTTACATATAATTTATTCATTGATTTATTTATATTTATTTATTTATTAAAGTATAATATTTGTTTCGTAATTAATTTCTTATTATTAATTTATTTTAATTGTTTACTTATTTATTTTAATTAATCTATTTATTCGATCATTAATTCACTTATTTATATATTTTCTTTTTACAGATGGATTTCGTAGTTATCATCCCCTCGTTGTGAGATCTGGTAATTGATATCGTTTTTCAATCATAATTTTAGATTAAAAAAATTTCATTAGAACGAAATCGACGATTATATCGCAAATATTAGCTTTTGGAAAACGATGTCAAGCCAAGATCTACCGACGTGTACCGGTCCAATCCAAGTCGTGGAAGATTTCCTTTGGGTATCCTGGTCATCTGGACTGCAGATATCGTTTTATTTGCCTTTATCTTTGTGACACGTCGTGGAACTTCCTCAAGATATCACCTTCTTGTCTCTACTCGATGACAGCCTTCTCGATATTCCGGATCACGATAATGATATCCTTAGCATCTAATAGTAAGTCATATTATATATTTTTGCTCTTTTTAGTCATTGATTCGATATAGATGGTTACATCATGCTTAAATGATTATTTGTTATAGTAACGTTTCTTCTTTGTTTGCTTTATTTATTTATATCTTAGATCTTTTTATATACAAAAAAAAATCAAGGAATTCACGATTCTTTGTTTCATTAATCATTACCTTTTTCATGTTTACTTAAAATATTTATACTTCATTCGTGTATATTAAAATATATAAAATTATCTTTCTTAATGAGATTATTAACATTTCTTGGTTTTTTTTTTACTTTTTAAAAATTAACAACAATCTTCTTTTACTTGATCTTCATACGATTTAAAATATAATAGTAAATTTACTAGATTTTTATAAGTAAGAAAATAATAAAATTTCTTTATATTTGTTTGTTAATTTTTAAACGAAAAAAGAAACGTGTACAAGTTTATTTATTTCTCTATAAATTTTATTAAGAAATTTCTTTAAAAGTTGAATCCTCGAATCACTAAGATTAAAATCACTTAAAATTCGATTATTTTTTTTTTTTTTTTCAAATATCTATCGTCCTATTACACATTCGTTCGCAAAGACGAGACTCCAAATTTCCAAGCCCAAGTTTCCATCTAGAGACGACCAAAAGCATAATTTCCTCTGTGTTATCGCGATAACGAGAACACGGGAGAAAAGTAAGGGGAATCGAGAATCAGTCAATGTTGAACGTTAAAATACGTTCGACTTAAAATAAGATTAAGTTCTTTAAGAGGGTTTATCTTAATGCGTTCCATTGCTGTTCGAAGGACGGTTGCAAATGATTAAGAAAATCCTATTAGAAGAATGGGAAAACTTGTCGAGGCTAATTCTCGTAATTATAAGACTGAGAATAATTTCGAACTTTTTCAAAGAAGAAAATTTAAATTTTCTATTAGTCACGTGACTCGAATATCCTCTCTCTCTCTCCCTCTCTGTCTCCCCCCCCTCTGCATATCTTCCCTCCTTTTTCTTTACAATAATTTATTTTAATTTAATTTATTTTCTTTACAATAATTTATTTATATTTAATTTATAATAATTACAATTATTATATTTTCTTTATAATAATTTATTATTTTGTAAAGATATCAAATCTTTTATATTTTTTACTTTTAATCAAAGTTTGGATATTTCGCGTTGTTTCTTAGATTTCGTTATTTTTCATATCTCGATACGTTTACGTTGTTCAAAGAAAAATAACGCAATCGACGTTTTTTGATTAAAAGAAAAATTCGATCGATGCGTGCATCGTGTGAAAGATTTGAATCACGAAAGATACACTGATTCGAATGATTAAACAAAGCCTCTTTTTTCGGAAAGAATCAAGATAAAACGATTTTTCACCCATCGATGTAGAATAAATGCTTCGATAACAGATCCGACTAAAGTTAAGCTGCTCAACAAAATTTCACAAAGATTCAAATTTTTCATTCGACTTGTTCTCAATGACTAAAAGGATTAGAAAACTAATCTAAACTAGTCTCTCTATCATTCGGATTTAGAAATAAAAAAATAACGTGTTAAATTTAATTTTTCGCTATACATTTTATTTATACTTCCACATCGAACAGAAAATTATGCTCGAGAACTTAGAATCGTGATGCTCTAAATAAAAACATATAAACCAATTTTTTTTTAAAACTAACATATTAAAGATTATACACGAAACTGTTCCTTTTTCCTTTTTCTTTTTTTTTTGAAATATCGATTAATAAATATAAATTCCTTTACGCGTGTATTATTTCACTCAGATGATTTTCAGAGATTCTCCGTCAATCGTGCCTCTGTTTCGAAATATTCGTATAAAATGGAAGATGGTCAAAGGACACGGAGGAATGACTACGATTTTTCAATTTTATTCCTCAAAGAAGTTTCAAGGGAAGCGGAATCGCAAGGAGGGGGAGAGGGGAGGGTGGAATTTCAGGTAGAAAGAAATTTTAAGCAAACGAAATAAATGGTAGGAAAACGAGTAGGAATTTTTCAAAGGAACAAATTTTACGTGTGTAGTGGACTTTGCGTTGGAGAGGAACATTTTTTTGAAGTAAACGATAGGTCAGAAAGAAAGGGAGGGGGCGAGATAAGAGGGGAGAATGGGTTTGGTAGATGGAAGCTTCGTGTAAATTAGAGTTTAACGAGAATCTAAGCCTGGGATAACAAGGGGGCCTTATAGGGGAAAAAGGAGAAACTTCGTATAGAGGGAATGAGAATTTTTCGAGCTGATAAAATATTCGAAAATGTTTCCTTTCGCGTGGATGAAAAGGTGAATTGTTTATCCTGATATTCTCATTCTCGTGTGGTAACTTTGCCGGAATATTTTAGTGACCCGTCCAAGAAGGAGAAAGAATTTCTTTTCCATTGTGAAACAATGAAAAAGTCACTGGTGATTGAAAAATTGATCGGCCATGCCGACCGGAAATCCCTCTCTTCTCGTAACCTGATTCCTCGTCGGATTTCCTTGCGGTAAAAATCTGATGCGTTATTCATTTGCATTATTGCGATTCGAAATCTCATTTATTAAGTAAACCCCGGAATTATCCGGTTACAACTATATTTTCCAATTCTATTTTATTCTATTTTATTCACAATCATATTTCACCAATATTAATAATAATATATTCTATATATAATATACTATATTATATATATAATATCTTTATATTCTATATATAATATATTCTATATTCAATATATATATATATATATA